ACAAAGCACCACAATGACACTCTAAGGCTCAAACTCTCAAGATCTCACTTAGGGCTCGATTTTCTGGACAAGAAGGGGATGGAGGCTGACTAAACATGACCTAGTGAGGCTATCACAAGGTTTAAATAGGGTGCAACACCCTGAAAATGAGGGTTTCATTAACCACATGTATGCCATGCATACTCTATGTACGCCCAGCGTACTTGAAACAAAGGTGTGATCCAATCCGGACTAGTACGCTAAGTGTACCAACCTTTACGCCCCATGTACTAGCTTAAGGACTAAAACGCAAAACTTTTAAATGAGAAGGTTAAATACGAAACTTACAAAATCCAAGTGTTACAATATCGTAGTGTTCGTGTAGTTGTTCGATTATACTTTTCACATTAATAATTGATCTATTTTATAATAAGTGGTATCAAAGCGCGTCTATTTTATAACAAGTGGTATCAGAGAAGTCAAATATCTGAATCACACTTACAAGTTGACTGGGTTTTTTGGCGGATCATTCTTCTGTTGGTGATCGAATTTCATGACTGTTCCAGTTGATCGATTTTCTTTCCGGTTACAACTTTCTCGAGTTCCCTCACCGTTTCGAGTTAATTGTGTTTCCATGGTCGTTACGAGCTGGTCATTTTTATTGGCCGTTAAGAAGCATCATTGTTTCTTTTAGAGCCATGTTACCAACAATATGGGCTCTTTCTAGGTTGTATCTACCGACCATTTGATCATTCTTCTTGAGAGCCTTATACCTACTACAAAATCACGTTTGTCAAAGCTACTTTCTTACAGGTCAATCGTTTTCTACTATGATCATTTTTTGGAGCTTTTATTTTCTGCTATATACGAGCCCCATAGACATCCTCCTTTAAAACTGATATATAGAAGCTTTGATTATATCGGTTCATCTAAACCCAACGTAACAACGATATCATCGTTCTATTTTTTGGAAGCAAATAAACAAGCCTAGAGAATCTTTTTCAAAGCCTTGTTGCTTTTCTTAAGGGTTTTATACAAAAAACACATAATCGTTTTTTTTTCAAAACCCTATATTAGCCTTATTATTTATGTTTCTTAAATCCCTATTATAACAACTTTAGTTGTTTCCCTTGTGTTTTTAAGCCCATTTTAATTTCTTTACCAATAATGACAACCATTATCGATTTTCTTAAGCATCAAGCCACCCTAAATCGATTTTTAGTCTGTTTAAATCAATTTCCATCCTTTGATAAATTGATTTTTTTCAAGCTCTCATAAATTAATTTTTCGCATCTTATAATTTGATTTTGTTGGCCTTTATAAATCGATTTTCCCTTAACCTTTTTAGAGGTTATTTAAAATCATTTTTTATGACTACCTATCCGATTTTTCATCACAACTCATATATACTTTCCTTTTGGCAAGTGAAGATGATAAGTTGTATGGCTCAAGTTATGGATCGAGGTAATTATGATTATACGTTCGATTCTTTTTGGAGGAGAAGGATGTTTGGAATCATCCACAAGTAACTGGATTTTATTGTGGATTGAACTCTTTTATAGTTTTGGGTTATTGTCCTTTGTATTGCCGACTTTAAGAGGTTATCGGTTTTGGGAGTGTTGGGATCCTGAGATCCTATCGCTCGTTCGTTGAAGAATATTTGAAGATTGAATTCATCAAGAAACTAATACCGTAAGGTGTATTTCAAGACTTTAATATCGTAAGGTATTTTCAAGAATTTAATACTATAAGGTATTTTCAAGACTTTAATACCATAAGGTGTTTTCAAGCATTTAATACCGTAAGATATTTTTAGGATTTTAATACCATAGGGTATTTTTCAAATTTATGATACTGAAAGGTATTAGGGTCGAAAGACGTTTATGCCATATGAAATTCGGTTTGAAGTTTTTACTTATTTAATATCTTATCTCTAATTTTGGATAGAGCCTTATTTTAGCAAGATATCAATTTAGTTTGCGAGTGTATTCGGTGGCATGTTATTTCTATGGCATGAAGAACACTTTGGCACAAGCGGGTTGGCATCGTTACAATTGTCTTTGATGAGTTTATAATACCTTAAAGGTATTTTCGAGATACTTGCGTTGAGTTTGAAGGTTCGTATCCGTTGACATTTTGGTGATTTGATTTTTCACAATTTTTCTGTCTATGCCATTTGAGAAAGTTTAGTCCTTAGAGATTTTGGCACTTCTTATTATTCGACTTATGTCTTCTTAAGTTTGAAGGTTTTTTTTTGCTGAAGATCGGTTTCGTCTCACGAAGGAGTTTGTTGATAATGATCCTAAACCTTTAACTTGGCTATGAAGTTAGTCATATATTAGGAATGTTTCCTATTTACAAGGTTTTAGAGTTTGTTTAGGACTCTTTGTAAGACTATTATATAAAGCCACATAGATGTCTTATTTTATTCATTCCAACATCTTCTTTCTCTCGTTTATTCCTTGGAGACTTATCAGCATTGTAACCGTTTATAAGAGTGTCGTTTTTATAGTGGTTTTCCCCTTTCGGGTTTTCCACTTTACATCGTAGTGTTCGTGTGGTTGTTCGACAAGAGGGGTGATTATATATTAAAAAACAAACATATTTGCATTTCTCTTCCATAATAATTATATGTTGACAAACCGAGCATGTCGTAGGTTTTTATGATGGTCGGATTTTGATTAAGGCATTCATAGCTTCTGAAAAAAATTAGAATGTCATGATAACCACCATCGAAACATTAGACTCTGGAGTGCAGCTTTTTGATCATGTTTGCGGTTGTGCAGCCAAAGGAAATTTCCAGGAGACATGTTTGTTGGAAACGGTGAACAATTTCATATAGTGTGTGGACCATAGCAAGTCATTTGTTTCTTCAACAACTATTGTGCCCAAGAAGCAACACAAGAGGCCATGCGAAGCTGTGGTTTACATCTATGGAAAGTCCAATATAAAAGGTTGATTGCTGTCATACTAGAAATCCTTAGTAAATAGGTCATGTTAGATCTTGTCTTAATAGATGTTGATATATATGCAAAAATATAGCAATGTAACAATCGTAAGTAATTTTAATATAAAATTATTAAAAGTTAAATAAAAAGAACTTGGTCGATTATCTTGAAACTAGCTAGTATATATTTATAGTTTGTACCTCAAAGGATCATGACCATGTTACCTGCGTAGGAACATGGACCTGGTTTTCTAAATGTTATTGGTCCCGATTGTTTATAAAAGAAGCAGTATTTTACAAACCTTATAAGACACAGTTTTTTAGAATTGGAACTGGGCACCATTTTGGTTATATGACCTGATTCGTTAACCGGGTTCTATCACAGTTTTCATATAAGCCAAAAGCCTCGCCTACATAAAAACCCGGTTCTATAACCCTTTTTCGCAGGTCCAACCGGAAATTGGTACAAAATTGAAATAGAAAGATCCCCCACATGTGCTCAAAAACCTCCAAACTTGTGTTCAAAAGCTTGGTTGTTAGAATAAATATCTGTGATGGAAGCCTTTGAAAAATTGATGACAGAAGCATCTATCGTCATCTTATTGAATTACTACCTAACAAGCATGTGCTCTAAAAATTAATACCGTACATTGACACATGTGAAACTACTATTCATCCTTAAATTACTACACCCTAACATCTTTTACTAAAGAATTACATTTACCAAATCATAGTAAATCAATATAAACTTTTATGTTTTCATTACAGGAAGACCAGATATTTTATTTTAATCCATTATACTTTAAAAACCCTACCTGATCAGATCTATAAATAGTCCTTCTCTTAATGGGGCTAAATGTATAACTTATTACTTTCCACGACTTTCCACGACTTTCATCTTTTCCTTTGAGAATACATTCAGATCAAACATGGTATACTCTTTCACCATATATATTTGGAAATGTTGGGTTTATGGTGAACCTGGTGTACTTCATCTGTTGATTGCTAAGATTTCTCCACTTCTTAGTTATATTTTGTTTCGGCCCTATATGCAGGCAGGCGATGGCGTAGAGGTTGGACCGTGGGGAGGTAAGGGTGGAGTTAATCCCTGGACATTCATCCCTAGTGGCAGGATTTGCGAGATCCGTATCAGCGCCTCAGGCTGTGTAGATTCAATCAGGTTCACTTACAAGGATCGTGATAATGTCAAACACCATTCCGAAACATATGGTGGTGATGGTGGTTCACCTCATACGGTATAGTGAGCTTTCATTACATCTGTTACCTAAACATGTACTGCACTTATCTTCTAGTTTTATCATACATCATTTATCATCTATTCGGGTATATCTTCAGTTTACATTTGCTGATGATGAGAACCTCATCGAGATTAGCGGAACTGTGGGAGTATATGGCGGTTGCACTGTGATTACACTACTAGAAACATGGGTTTTAGAGACGGAAGTATCCGTCGCTATTCCGTCGCTAAATGTTGTTTGCGATGGATCAGCGACGGATTCACTCCATAGGTAATTAATAGGTGGCTAATTTCTCAGCGAGGGTTTTAGCGACGGAGAGGTTTTTTCTTGCGACAAATGTAGCGACAGAATATCCGTCGCTAAATGTCACTCAATACATTTACTCAGGGCATTAGCGACAAAATTTGATAAAGTCATTCCGTCGCTGTTCTGTCGCAAATTTCCGTGAACAGTTTTTTTTCCGTTGCAAATCCCTTGCAAAATTCATATACTGATTTTTTTTTTCCGTTGCTGATCTGTCGCAAGCTTTAGACATGGTTTTTTCCATAGCTAATCTCTTGCAAAATTTATACATTAATTTTTTATTTGTTCTGTCGCTGATCCGTCACAAACTTTAGACATGATATTTTTTTCGTAGCTAATCCCTCGCAAAATTGATGCATTAAAATACTTTTTTTATTCTCACCAATCCGTCGCGAACTTGTAATATCATTTTTTTTATGATTCTAAAAGAAAAAAAATACTACAATCATCAAATTTTTATACTAAAAAACATCGAATAACAATACAACCAAACATTACAATACCAAAACTATCAAAGTTTACCAAAGTATCATTCAAAAAACATCCAAAACCAAAACTATCCATATAACATCAAACTCCCAAAGGTTTAACTTCAAAATAACATTTTAGCACCAAGAAATCCAAAGTATGCATCGGGAAATGAGTTTTCACAAAACATAACTTCAAAATAACATTTTAGCTGCTCTCTTCATTTCATGTCCATCCAATCATCTTCGGTTCTCATTCCTATAAAACATTATTCAAAACAATCAAAAGTATCAAATACAAAAGGTTAACAAGTCATTCAAAAACATCAAATATTAATGGTTAACATCATATTACCTCTAATTTTCAATTTCCCATCATATTTTGCAAGGTTGCATACATCTTCTCCATTGCTTCATATTTTGCATCAATTTGTTGTTGTTTGGCATCTATTGCTGCAGCTTTGGCATCCATTTCCTCACGCATTTGTTGATGTTTAGCTTCCATTTCTGCAGCTTTAGCATCCATTTCCCCACGCATCTCGTTTCGTACACGTTCATAGACAACCTAAAGGACAATGATAGAAAACTTTGTAAGTACAATGCCATGATAGGAAACTTTGTAAGTACAATACCATGATAGAAAACTTTGTAAGTACAATGCCATGATAGGAAACTTTGTAAGTACAATGCCATGATAGGAAACTTTGTAAGTACAATACCATGATAGGAAACTTTGTAAGTACAATGCCATGATAGGAAACTTTGTAAGTACAATGCTATGATAGGAAATTTTTATAAAGTACAAAATTAAACGAACCTCTTGGGATGTTATTGTACTAGATGTTCCTTCCAAAAAGCTCGCTGGATCAGACACAGATCCGAATCCATATATTCTTCCTTTCTTGACTCCTCCGGAAACATCACACCATGTTTCATTATCCAAAAGGGGGTGGCAACTAGTATCATCACCAAACTTAGCCACCATAGCACTTTTATAAGCCTCCTATTATAGCAAAAAAAAATATGAAAAAACATAAACATGAAATAAGGAATGGAATGGTTCATTCCATTCCATTAAATTCATAATCAAGGAATGGAATGAACCACTTCATAAGCCTCCTATTAATTAATACTCAAACCTGACATAAAGTTGATTACTACTTACAAAACACTTAATTACAACTAGGCAGAGGATCAAACATTTAGAGATAATAATTTGTTTCTTTTCTTTTGTAAGTTGATTACTACTTACGAAAGATTTGTTTTCTGTCAATTTGTTGCTTTAACAAAGTTATTAACCCGAGTAGTAGGAAGTTTTGTTTCCTACAAAAGAATTGAAAATACCTTAACTTTAGCTGCCTTTGGTGTAATGTACTCTTGAGTAGACCGTTTAGTGTGCAACCTTACATAAAGTTCAACTCCTGTAGGAGGGCGTTTAAGTGTTGCTTGCTACAAAATCCATTAGTAATACATTAAAAAACAAAACAAAAACTCAATAGTCTAAGTGGAAACTAAGGTGAGATGCAAACATCTTACCATTCTTTTCTTATGTTGACGAATAGATATAGAACCCCCGGTATGTTTGGAAACAGAGCCATCTTCTAATTTATTTCTGTTATTTTTCCCTGATTGTGATAAACGTTTCCATTTGGATGTGGTCCACACTTCATTGATCATTTTTTCCCAATACTCCTTTTTTATCCAATTTGGGTGATAGTCCTTTAGCAAATTTAAATCACCTTCTAGTGAGGCATTCACATTTGCAGCTTTGGCAAGTTTTAAAGATTCTTCACGTGCTCTTCGCATTATGTCAGGAAATCTTTTCTTCATACAGTCTTCCCATACCTTGCGAGCAAGAACATCAGTCTCTTCGGGCCAGTCATACAAACCCTACATGTAGATCACGCATACAATTATCTTTTTCATTTTACACCAAGTTTTACTTTGATAAATCATAAAAATAATAAGTACAAACCTTGAAGTGTTCCCACATTGCATCACGATGTTCTTTGTCAACCTTCTTCCATGAGGTCCATGGGCCGTCAAACATCGTCTTCAGTATACATGTGATGACTCTGATCACTGAAATCTGATCCGTAAATCTTGCAAAAAATAAATAATTAAAAAAATTAGCATTAGTATTATCATTAACAAGTAAATTCATTTTCATAAACAATTGTAAAATTAACATTAGTACTCGTTTTCAGAATCGACTTCAATGAACTTCCTTTTTGATGGGTTACTTGGAACTTGTTCCAAGATGTTTAATCCTCTAACTGAAGAAGAAGGTTGACTTTCTGCATTATCGTGTGATTGAGATGCATTTCTATCTCCAGCATCACGACCACCAATGTGACTACCACTGCGACCACCACCACGGGCTCCTCGTGGCGCCATTAGTCAAAAGATAACCCTTAAAATCAAGAATTAATAAACTATTGGTTAGAACAAGTATGTATTATAATAGAAAATTATAGAAGTAAGAGAAGGTAACATGCTATAATACATAAATAAATGAAAGTGCAATGTATATAGAAAAAGAAAACGATCATTTTAGCTAAAAAGTTATTGATAAGGTCCATTAGGCAATATATAGTTCCAAATACATTGTTTCATTGTACATTTTTAGTAATTACTCATCATCAGAATTATCATCACATATGTTGTCTTCATCTTCAATATCATCTTGGGATGAATCATCCAAGTTATCATCAACTTCTTCATCCTCTTCTCTCTCAATGTCATTGTCATTAACTTCTTCTATTTCTCCTTCAATTACATGAGAAAGGGGTCCTGCCACCTCATTTGCACCACTACTTGTAGAAGGTAAAGTCGCTTCACTTTCTTGAAAGAATTGGTCCTCTTCATCCTCATCATCATCTTCTTCAATAACACATTGTCGTAGATCATATAAACCCCTTGGTTTCGTCTTGACGACAACCCACCAATTTTTCAAATCCTTCATTGCAGGATATGGGACAACCCAGGGGACTAGTTTCTCGCTGCCAGTCGCTAAGGGTAGCTTTGGTGGATTCAGCGGAAACTACGGGGATTACCTCGACTCTTTCAGTGTCATTCTTCATCCCTATTAGTAACGCGAACAAATATCATGTATTTGCAACCTGCATACATGGTGTTCGACGTGGTAACCTTGTCAAAATAAAGAAGCCTAAGAGATGTGTTTGTGAAATTGTTGTGTTATTTTGTTTTGATGTTCAACTTGTATAATTGCTTTATGTTTTAAGATGGTATCTTGTTTCCTAAATATAATTACAATAAGCACCCTTGTGCACTAGGTGTCTTGATCATGTACTCTCAAACACTTCTAATGGTATATTTTCAGTTTGGCTGTTTGCTAATGTGCGTGTCCACTATGAATTTGGATTTTGTTTTCTTCGGTGCATGGTTGATCACTCTACAATCTTGTACACATAATGAACTGTATATATTTTGACTTGCCGTATTTCTTTTTGTATATGTAAGAAAATTAAATAATAGGAAACATCTTCATAGTCCAGCTGCATCAATACACCATAAGTCGCACTTTGCATTGTTCAAACGAGGCTTCAGATGATGGAATTGTATATAATGAAAATATATGGTAAATAATGATAAATTTTGCTACAGTTAAATATAGTTAAAAACAAGTTGTATGGAATTGTATATAATGAAAATATATTTTTCTTTGTTTTGAAGTTAGCCATATGAACTAGTTATTGAAAAAGAACAATTATGACTCTACAATCACACATAATGAGCTTTTGTTTGGCGAAGAAGAATTTCTTCTAATACATTTAAATTCATCCATATTTTTTGTAGCGATGTATGAAAATTAAATGGTGATAATGGGCGTAACAGGAAGCTGTCATCAGTATTTTTTTTTTTGTTATTTACATGGCAACAATGGCGGTATTGGGCGCTACAAGGGCATTGTCAACTCAACCATGAGGAAGTGATACGGCTCATAAACCCACTATACAAGAGTCAACAAACTGAAGTCCATCAAAAAACAAGTTCGAAAGGCCCAAGAGATAAATAACGAGACAATCCCATTACAAGGATTGAAGCACAAGTATGGAACTCCACATACTTGAAGACTTGGCCTACTTCCACTTTTCCGGTAAAAGCTAATTGCATTAAGTTACGAGCTAACGATTGTTCCTGCATGTATATTTCCTTAATTTAGCTAGAACAACATCTTTCATGTTTCTATAAATTGTACCCTACATTTGGTTAAAGTAAGCAGAAAACTGCCCCAAGTTTCTTGTTCTTGGGAGATTCACCATCTCAAATTTGCTTGCTATCAATTGGTGCTTTCATTCTCGTTTCAATGCCTCCCAAATGCTAATCAAACTCCACCTCTGACAACCCTAACTCCACCCTCCAAGACCAAATGGTAACCCTTATCCGTCTCTCCATCACTACCACCAGCAAGTTGGATCAACTTGTCAACATCCTTACAACAACAACAACAACAACAACAACAAAAACCACCACCACCACCACCTCCGACCACCAAAAATTCCCTATACAACTTATACAACTTCTATGGTAACATCGAACTAGATTGCATTTTCCAAGCTAATAACTACTTTGATTACTATACCATCACACAATCTCAACGAGTTACTGTTGTTGTCTTTTACTTCGCCGTAGATGTCTTGAGTCGGTACAAGCATCTAGCTAACTACCACCTGTTGTGCACGTGGACGGAATTCTCTCGAGCCTTGGAACTTTGCTCGGATCTTCCACATAAGAGAACTACTAAGCCATCCACTTCAAACTTTGACAACTGACCATTGTTTCGGCCTATCAATTAGAGGTCGAAAAAGTCAGCAATTGCATCCTCTCAGGTCATGATAACAATTCCCTTCTAAATTTCTTCCTCTCAGCTGTCTGTGCTGAATTCTATATTGCTGACATTCAAAACGAGTTAGCACTTCATCACCCCACTTCCCTTCATCAAGCATATGGGTTACTCAAACTCTTGGAAGATAAACTCGGATTTGCAAAACCACACTTTCCAAGCTCATGTTCTTCATCTACTATAACATATCCCAAGAATTTACCAGCAACCACTATCACACCATCACCACCAACAACGACAACTTCCTGACCCATGTTGACCGTCTTACCCACACCAAAACATCCTCGTCGATTCTCCTTCTTATCCCCTGAATCAATACAAAAACATTGTGTGACAAGTGTAACCTCCCACAGTTCATGCTCATCGTTGACTATGCAGATCACTTTGACGGACACCATCTCCTTGAACCCATACCGACTAATGAGAACCTCAACCACGCCAGAAATCAATTCCTTACATTTTCCACAACAACCTGTTTTGGGTTTTCCTCTCCCTAAAAACCAAACCGTTACCGTTTTAGTCAATTGTGGTAGTACTTATAACATCATCCAACCTTGTCTCATCAACTGCTTAATTCTACCTCGCAAACCTATTTCAGAATTTTCAGTCATGGTTATAGGTGAAAATGTGATGGACTATGCCCAGACCTTGTGTTCCACTTGACACAAACACCTTTCAGAATTCCAAATTTCACTCTACCGGTTGTAACATTCGGACTTTCAGATGCATTAATGTGTGTTTATCTTTGAGATGTATGGAGTGACTCGACGAGTTGTGAGTCCCACTCGCCGAGTAGGGTTGGGTTGGCCACATGGATTTAATGAGTGGACTCGACGAGTCAAAGAGATGACTCGCCGAGTAGGTGATGGGCAGAGAAACCCTAATTTCCGGGGATTGGGGCCTATTTAAAGGCACTTATAGCCTCATTTGCGGCTACACTTCCCTGAGAACAACCCTAGACGACCTTTGAGCTTTGAGAGAGAGTGCTTGGCTAATTGTGAGTGTTTGGTGCATCTTGTGAAGAGAAGAGAAGAATTCCAAGCCAAGGGTCAAGAAGGTGCTGCTAGATCTGAGATTGTTCCTCTTCAGAGCTTCTGGGAAAGGTATAAAGCTTGCACCTTTCTCATTATTTTGTATAGATCTCATGATTTTATGAATCTAGGGTTTTTCCACCCAAATATGAGGACCTTGAGTGTTTTATGTTCATTGAGAGGGATTGAACTTCAGATCTGGACCATGTGAGGTCCCTAGAGTCCAAAAGTCCCTGCTTTATCCAACCATAATAGTGATCTTAAGTGAAAAACCCTTTTAAGGTGTGTTTTGGCATTTCAAGCTCAAAATGCCATGTATGAACGTAAAGCATGTGACTTTACGTGATTAATGAGCTTTAGTAGTGAAGATCTATAACTTGGGAAGGTTCTCTGCCTTGAAAACGACTGGATGAGATATGAGTCCGAATGGACTCGCCGAGTCAAGGAGCCGACTCGACGAGTCGGTGAGGGTTTGTCCCGATGGGTTTGATTGTGCGATAACTCGGCGAGTTGGGGGTCAACTCGACGAGTTGAGCTAGACTTTCTTGAGACTTCTAAGGACAAGGGGACTCGACGATTCGGGTCAAACATGGACTGTTGACTCGAGTTTGACTTTTGTTGACTTTAGGGTTTGGTCAACATAAGTAATGGAGATCATGGAGGGGTAAAATGGCCTTTTACCCAATTCGAGAGTTAGAGAGAGAAGAATAACATGTGGTTAATTAGAGTTGAGAATCGAGTATTAATTAGAGATATTTACCCTATGTGTTAGGCGGTGGCTAGTTCGAGATTTGAGTTCGAGGATATTTGCTTGCTTGCTCGCAAGGTGAGTCTTCTCACTATACTTATCATGAGTGGTGTCTTTGTGTGATTGAGATATCTTATGTGCTTACATTGTGTATTGTGATATCCTGCATTATTTCTTTGTGATTTATGATGTGTATTATTCAGAGCATACAGAGTTAGGACCGAATGTCCATCAGAGTTGTGGGACCGGAGGGTCCCACAGAGACACATTGACCGGAAGGTCTTACAGTGATATAACCTCGAGTGGCTAATGAGCTGTGTGTGTGGTATTTGGGGAACTCACTAAACTTCGTGCTTACCGTGTTATGTGTTATGTGTTTCAGGTTTCCCAGGATCGCGGGAAGGCACCGACTTGATTGTACACATCAGTGAAAGAGTTATGTTTTGAGGATCCTGGATTTGAATCAAACAATCATGGGGTTGCGATTTGTAAATTAAATAAATGAGATTTTCGTAAAATGTGTTATGAGAATTATGCGATTTTAAATGAAAATTTTATTTGAAAATTTACGGTGATAGAAGTTGGTATCAGAGTCTTGGTTTGAGGGATTCGGATGCACCTTCGGGTAAGTCTGGACTCAAACTGAGGATTTGAGAAAAGTTTTCAAAAAAGAAAAGATTTTTTGTATAACGAGTAAGAGTTTCTAAGAGAAAACGAGAAGGAGCGGTGTGTACAATCAGCCAGAGCCCGA